CCCTTTTGGGTGACTGTCCCTCAGCCTGGCTGTCCCCAGTGCTGCCCTCCCTCCGGCAGCTTCCCTCGAGCCTCCAGCTCAGTCATGCCAGCTGGCTCTGTCATCGCTTTGTGTTGTGCAGCCCTTTATGTGGCTTCCAGAAAGGAAAATCCCTGAAAAGGGGACTCCCTGTAAAAGGAGGCAGCAGGGTGGCCCTAGCTTTAGCACCCACTACTACTGTTCTAGGGACCTGGCGCTGGGCAGGGGTGGGCAAGCAGGACCCTTTGCTCAGCAGCATTGCCATGGGCTTTGCATGAATCACCTGGGACTGGAGTTTGACCTGGACTGGCCGGGGAGCTTTGTGGTATGTGGTACCGTTCCCTGGGATGTGCAAGGGGGTGTTTGTGCCTGGGTCTTTCTGTCTGCAGTGGTCTTTGGCAGTGCACGGGCAGCGCGGCCTCCTTTCCTGCTGCCTGTTGTGGGGTAGCAGGGCAGGGGGTGATGATATTTCCTGGGGGTGCGCAGCCCCTGATTGCTGCCCTAACATGGCTCTTGGTCTTGCATCCCCCCAGAGCTCTGCAGATTGCACTACAGTCGGGAGAAGGCTGAAGAGCGGGCTGCGCCTCAAATCGTGAGTGTCTCAGCAGCCATGAAGCCCTGCTGGCCTTGGAGCAGGGCCTCGGGCACAGCAGTGCGGGCTCTGGGTGCACGGCACTCCCAGCACCCTGCAGCCACGTGGGAGGGTCAGGGTTGGGGTAATCCCAGTCCTTTTCCTGCCCCAGATGTTTCCCCTCCAGAAGATCCTGGGCTGTGGGGTGGAGGGGGGTTTCTGCTGCACTTCATGGGGTGGGAAAATCTGTTCAACCTCCATTAGAGAGATGGATGGGGGGCCCAGAGAGAAGGACAGGGCTCCTTTCTGCCAGGTAAGGGCCCATACCTTGGAGGACACAGGGGGAGCACAGGGCTTCCTGCTCTCCGGTTTGGCATTGATGCTCTCTCTTCTCTCAAAGGCGACATCTCCGGAGCAGCCTCCGGAGAGGGACCCGGCCCTCTGCAGCCCCCTGGACCACCACCACAGTCAGTCATGCTCTGCTGGGCAACTTTGAGGTAACGGCACCTGTGCTGTGACTGCCCACCAGTGCAGGAGGGAGGGAGTTAAGCCCTGCAGGCGCTGGGCTGGAAACATGGCATAAGGTGCTGAGCCTGATGGGAGCGTGCTGCTTGGTACAGCAGTTGCACAAGGCTGTATCCCGTGTCCCGAAGGGCCTCACGTGTGTCAGCTGTGGGGAGAGGCATCTGTCCCCTGGCAGAACAGCTCACCACAGCAGATCCTGCCAGGGGACAGACGCGCTGGGCTGAACTTGTCCCTCAGACCCTATTGAGAGGGCTGCCGCAGAGCTGACTGGCAAAGCCAGAACGCTCGCACTTGTTCTTGGTGTTAGATGGCTGGTTTCAGCCCACCTATTCAAGGATGGAGTCCATCTCAGAAATAGCAGCCAAGGTCCCTCACACGCAGTCCTTGGAGAGCCTAGGGCCATGTGAGGGCAGGCTGATGCGTGCTCATGGTGGAGATGGAGGTCGTTTCACATATAGCTTAGAGGTGAGGGGCAAGCCTAGTATTGTAAGGTCTGTAACGCTTCCCTCCTCTCTCAGGAGTCCATCCTGAAGGGGCGCTTTGCACCGTCAGGGAGGATCGAGGGTTTCACAGCAGAGATCGGAGCCAGCGGCTCCTACTGCCCCCAGCATGCCACCCTGCCTGTCGACGTCACCTACTTCGACATCTCTGAACACAGCGCGCCCTCGCCTTTTCTGGTACGCCAATGAGGGAGGGCTGGGCCAGTGAGGGAGGTGAGCAGGGGCCGTATGCAGGCACTGGACATCCTCTGGGGCTGCCCCGCTCTTGAGAACGTGGCACAAGCAACCACATATCCCAGGAGCCCCGGCACATCTCTGTGGCCGTGGCACCGGCCACACCAGGGTCTGCTGCAGGGAGACAGAAGCCATATTTAACCTATGAGGCAAAGGGAGGAAGAGGCAGGCTTCAGATGTGTGACAGGGCTGCCGCTGCCCAGCCGTCTCACGGCTGCTGCTTTGCCATCACCTCTCTGTTGCTGCTTGTTCTCCTCCTGGTCTGGAGAGGGATTGAGCTGAGCACCCTCTTGCAACGTGCCCCTGGTTGCCTTGTCCCACGGTCTGCTGGTGAGAGGGACTCTGGGCCCCATATCAGGGCTCAGCTAGGCTCTCCGTGGGCTTTCATCCTCTCTTACATGCTGTTTCTTTTGCCTCCCAGGGAGTGATTGACTTGGAGGCCTTGGGAAAGAAGGGTTACAGTGTCCCCAAAGCTGGAACCATCCAAGTGGTGAGTCATCCCCTGGCCTCTGATAGCGCAGTGTGGAGGAGGCCTGGGTGGGCTCCCGTGGCTTTGGAGCATCCCCGGGGCAGAACTGCTCCATTCTGTTGTTTTGCTGGGGCAACAGCCAGAAAGCTCTGTGCAGAGCCAGTGTATGGCCACCAAGAGCGCTGCGGAGGGAAGCACGGGATCCCCGGGGCGCTGGCAAGGAGGCAAGGGGATGCGAGACACAAGAAAGGAAGAGGCTGGTGAGGAGGGGCAGGGGTCTCAACAGCAGAGCTTGTGGGTGCCATGGGAATGAGATGGGAGCATGTGGGTGGAGGTGGGGAGGAAAGGGCTTACCGGTGGGTTGCGGTATCTGAGCTGTGTGCGCTGGCTCCTCTGTGAGGGACACAGACTGGAAAAGAACTGGGCCTTGGGCTACACCCTCTGGGGCTGGTGTGGAGCAAGGACTGCTCTTGTGGGCCCTTGGGCCTCCCAGCACAGCCCCAAGATGCCCCAGGCCTGACCTATGCGCCCATGCCGTGGGCACTTCCTAGTCTGACCTCCCCCCCGCTCTGCCCATAGACCTTATTTAACCCCAACAAGACTGTGGTGAAGATGTTCTTGGTGACGTACGACTTCCAGGACATGCCAGCCAACCACATGACCTTCCTACGCCACCGCATCTTCTTGGTGCCCGTGGGAGAGGAGGAGGGGGCCGTCGTGGCCTCCAGCGACCCACCAGGCACCAGCCCACCCCGCAGGGTCCTCTGCTACCTGATGCACCTGAGGTAGGGCAGGCTGGGAGGGATGGACACCTGCTCTGGGGTCACCGCTGGTCTCCCAGGCCCCTCTTCCGTGTGTCCCTGTCTCCTCCAAACCTGCAGGCTCTGCCACTATTGCAGGAGGAGAGCCTGACTTGGTAGCCCTGGGGAGGAGCAGGGAACGGTTGTCCTCTGCCCTAGAAGGGCTGCGGAGAGACTGGAGCTGCCGTCCTGCCCTAGGGCAGCAGTCTCTGCCCCTCTGGAGGCAGGCAGAGTGGAAGCCACTTTGACCAGGAGCATAAGTAGGCAAGGAAGATGGTGGGAAGAAGCTTCCTGGGTCGGAGTTGTGTTCCCCTGCCCTGCTCTGCTGCCACCGGCTCCCTCTGAGGCTGCTACATCCTTTCTTGCAAGTCTGAAGTTCCTCTGCCGTGCTCTCCTCTCCCCTTAGGTTTCACAGCTCCAAGTCGGGGAAGATCTACCTTCATGACGATATCCGGCTGCTCTTCTCCCGCAAGTCAATCGAGGTCGACTCCGGGATCCCCTATGAACTGAAATCCTTTACGGAGATGCCAAGGAACCCTTGCTACTCACCGTGGGCCTAAGCACGGAGCCGCCTGACCTTCTCCGTTGCCTAGAGCCACTGGGGAGCATCCAGCCCAGCACTTCAGAGAGAGATGAGTAAAGGGCCAGAGAGCAGGCACCACCTTGAAATATCGCCCTCCCCGCATGGCTGCGTCCTTCCAAGCAGCGTGGACATCGTGGCTGTGCCCTATGGCAGGGTTGGGATCACCAAGGGGGCTTTGTAAGGAGGGGCAGGGGCTGGTGAGCAGCCCCTGCGCTCCCAAGACATGCCCAGGTCTTTCACCAGTGCTGCTCCAAGCTCGGAGACGTGGCCAGGGTTGAGGGGGGAGTTAAGCCTGGAAGGGGGGCTCAGGGTGAGGCTGTCTATGCCAGTCCCTGGGCTGGGGAGCAGAAACCGTAGAAGGGTTCATATTTATTAGTATTTATTGTTGCTGGGAGTGTGGAGGAGACCTGTGCAGAGGATCAGACGTGCTTTTCTTCCTCCGCAGCCCTCCTGGCCTTGCAGGCACTGGACGAGGTACCCAGGCAGCGGGCAGGCTGCGCTCAGCAGTGTGGGGCTGCAGGCATTGAGGCAGGGCTGTGGGGACTGTGAGGGTCACCAGCAGCGAGGCACATCTCGGGCTGTGGAAGGAGAGGGTGACCAACCTATCAGAAGGAACAGGGCCCAGCTTCCCTGCGGGGCCTTTGTTAAAAGCCCTGGGAGAGGCTGAGATTTCTGCTGGGCCTGCCCCTCTTCAGGCAGCTTGGGGAGGCCCTAGAGGGCAACCCCTCTAGGGCAAGGCAGGCCCCAAGAAGCCTGGGGCTGGCAGGGAAGTGGCTATTGCTATGGGCCCTGGGGTAAGAGATATGGCTGTAACACGAAGGGACAAGGAGCTGGGGGCTCTCTGGAAGAGCAGGGACTAGCCCTTCCCGCAAGATTTGAGAGAAGGTGGAGATCACCAAAAGATCTTGGCCTTGTGCTGATGTGGTAGGGTTGGGGTGAATCCTGTTGCCTTTGGGGCAGCTGGGAACCTGCTTAGAGCAAGAACCTGTCACCACGTTGATCAACTGAGAGTAGAGGGGGAGGAGGCCTGGCTTGATCCTTAGGTAGGATGGAGAAGAGAGGAAGCAGCAGAGAGAATCGAGCATCAGCTCTGGGCTGGATGTGCAGAAAGGGAGCTGGAGATTATCCAGAGCGGTACCTTTTTCTGCCCCTAAGCCTCAAGAAATGTGTGCAAGAACACGTCAAGCCCCGGGCAGGGGGGTCAGGGAGGCAAGAGAGGCAGGGTGCAAGACCGGAGCGTCCTTTGAGCGTGCCCTACTGACGCAGAGTCGCTGCTAGGCTTTTTCTGGAAGACCTGGTTGGGGGTGGGGGAGGCCCAGCCAGGATCTCCAAGGAGGGAGGGAGGGAGGGAGCCCAGCCTGAGGAGGGCAGGAACACCAACGTCTGCCAGCAAGGGCCAGCACCCAGCTCCTTCCCCCGGCACCCCCAGGGGCGAGGACCACGGGGCAGGGGCTGGGAGGCAGGGAGGGCCAGGCCCGGGCCTG